CCAGTCATGAGGCCTAAACTCTGGGCCTGAGCGCTGTCCCTCAGCTCTTCAGCTCAAGACTAGCGCTCTACCACTTGAGCCACAGTGCTACTTCTAGCTTTTTTTGCTTATGTGGTACTGAGGAATCGAACTCAGGGCCTCATGCATGCAAGGCAAACACTCTACCACTGAGCCACCTTCCCGGCCCAGAGTTGTCTTCTTGGGTATATATGAGAAGGCCACAAAGCCTGCTGGTTAAAAAAAAGTTCTCCTTAAGAGAGCAATGTTAACTTACTAGTAAGTTTTGACAAAAATAAAAACTACTCTTAGAGATGTGACTCTTATTCCCATAAGAGTCTTGTCTCTGAAAAAGATGTTTTACAACCAGAACTGCCCTTAAACTTGTCTAGCCAATTAATGGTTCTGTAGGCATGGAAATAAGTTAACCATCACTAGCAGGTTAGAAATTCACTTAGATGAATGTGTTTTTGAAAGCTAATCAAAGAGTGACAAGGTCAGGCTCTAAAAGTCAGACAATTACAGCAAAGTTACTTGCTTCTAAGGCTAGTGCTAACCTGCTCCCAGCTCTACTCAACACCAAACCATGCATCTGTGACTGTCATCAATCCACTTCTGCCTCAACCAGCAAAACCCTAAACATGGTCTTCTCAGAAACTTGGCAGATCAGCAGTTAACTTTGCTTTAAGAAAATAGTTTGACAAGAAGAGCTTTCTTATACTTAAAACAAAACATCTAGTACTTTGTTTATGCTTTAGACATCAATAGCAGCCTCATCCTTTGCTGCAGTAAACCATGTTTGCTTGGATCAGATTCTAAGGGTATGCGTGACTGCTACTCCAGGTGTAGAGGATATTTGATCTCTGCCTTGTCAAGCAAGTCAGGAAGGAAGCTAAGGAATGTTATTTTGAGGAAATAATTCTTTTCCTCACCTTGAGTTACTTAAGTACTGTTTAATCAAATTTTGACAACCAATTAAACAAATCCATAACAAATATTTGACTTCTGCGGGCCAGCAATTGCTCATAGCAGCAGACAAACTTCCTGCTCTCACTAATCTTATGTACTTATGGGGGGAGGGAGACAAGAAATAAATTAGGTCAGATGGTGATATCCTCTGAAGCAAAGAGGAAGAGGAAGGAAAAAGCACTAAGAATGAGATAAAAGGTGGTTGTTTTAAACATGGCATCCGAGGAAGGCTCGCAAAGTGGTAACTGAGCGTAGAGGTAAAGAGTGGGCCTAGCAGACAGGACTCCAGGTAGAAAAATGGCCTGCAAGTATAAAGGCTCTAAAGAGTACATTCTATACTCACTAGATACTACGTTGAAAATGAACTATACAACTTGTAAGTGGGGATGGGAGGGAAAAACAGAGAGAGCCTGGCAAGGGGTGACATTGTTCAGAAAGAAATATACTCATTACTTGACTTATGTAACTGTAACTCCTCTGTAATCACCTTTATAATCATCATTTTTTTTAAAAAGAGTATATTCTCAAAGCATAAGGCAGCTGCAACAGGAGAGAGAGAAGGGGGTGGGGAAATGGAGATGATAGGGAGAGAGGAGGTAGGGAGGTTTGGAAAACATATGAAACCTCATAGACCAAAACTTTAATCATGAATGACAATGGGAAGCTACAAGGAGTTTCTGAACACAGACTTTAAAATATAACTGATTTTAAAAGATGAACTATGATTGCTGAGAATACAGAAGGATAGAAATGACACAGGTTAGAAGGGTAACAAGGAAAGAAGAGGCATCAGAAGTGATGAGCTCAAGTTCCATCAAGAGCACATTCTAAAGTAGCAGCTCACATGAATCAGCAGCAGATCACACCTCTGACCCCAGCTTCTAGGATCACAAGGATCACAGGTGGTGGCCACCTGGGCAAAAAGTTCAGGAGACTCCATCTCAACCAATAACTGCAACAGTGGTGTGTCTCTGCTATCTCGGTTACACAGAAGGCTGGATTAGGAGGGTCATACTTCAGCCCAAACCAAAAAAGAAAAAAAGTTTAAGACCCACATCTGAAAAAGCAAGGCATGGGGGGGGTGGGGAGGCTGGGAAGGGATGTGAAGGATAAACAAAGGAGGAGGCTGCAATGCTTGATAAGAAATGTACTCATTATCTTGCCCATGTAATTGTAACCCCTCTGTACAGTATGTTCACAAAAAAATAATAAAATTAAAAAAAGAAAAAAAAAAGAAAAAGCAAGGCATGGTGGGCAGAAAAGGCCTGTCATTCCAGGTAACCATGAAATAGGAGGATCGCAATCTAGCACATTCCTGGCAAAAAGTAAGACTCTACCTCAAAATTGGCAGGAAAAGCCAAGAGTCCCTGGTCCATGCCTATAATCCTAACTACTTAGAAAGCTGAGGTTGGAGGATGGTAGTTTGAAGCCAACTGAGGCAGGGAAATCTGTGAGGCTCTGATCTCCTATAAACTACCAAAAAAGCTGAAAGTAGAGTTTAAGTGGTAGAGTTCAAGCCTTGAGGAAAAAAGCTCAGGGACTGTGCCCGGGCCCCGAGTTCAATCCCTGGGGCTGGCATGCACACGCGCGCACACACACACACACACACACACACACACACACACACAAAATGGCAGAAACAAAAAGGCCTACAGGCATGGTTTAAGTGGCAGAGTACCAGCATGGCAAGCATGAAGTCTTGAGTCCAAACCCCAGTACTGCCCACCCCCAATTTCTTTTTTAAGTGACAGCTTTATAACATTAGACTCATTCTGCAAACCAGTCCATAAGTTTAAAATGAGCTGATGAAGCAGTCACATTAAAAAACAAGCAAACAAAACGGTCTAAACAATGTAGAGTGGTCTGATTATATTTGTAAAGTTGAACTGAAAGTTGAAATGAGAAAGAAGGAAAAAGCCAGGTACTCAAACATGGCATTTTAGAGAAGAAGCAGGATGTCATCAAGAGACATTACTATATGTTCCAACTGAGAGAAAGAGATGAGCACAAAGAAGAATTAAGAGTTGGCAAAACACACAAAAGCAACCATGAGGGAAGCCAGCAGGGAGGTAGTAGGGAGGAAAGAGGGGAGCTGAGCTCACATTAGAGGAGAGCACTAGAAATCCAAGAGTTCTTGCTTGCCAGTATTTCCAGAGCTGCCATAGGAGCAGTTCCCACAGTGCCCAGCCTTCCTGAGTCTCTGATTCTTACAAGTAAACACAGACCTCACTACAATAGAGGATTGACCAAGAACACAGGACTGACACTACTTTCTCCAGGAAGAAGAATGCCATTAGCTAGTGAACGTACTTTATTACTTCATAAATCTTTTTTTTGGGGGGGGTCCAGTTGTGGGGCCTGAACTCGGCCTGGGCACTGTCCCTCAGCTCTTCAGCTCAAGGTTAGCGCTCTACCACTTGAGCCACAGCACCACTTCCGGCTTTTTCTTTTTGCTTATGTGGTGCTGAGGAATCGAACCCAGGGCCTCATGCATGCAAGGCAAGCGCTCTACCACTGAGCCACCTTCCCAGCCCATAAATCTTTAATAATATATTTACTACAGTGATTGTTAAGGCATAGCTTCTTTAGGCCCCTGTAAGAAAGTGATTCTCTTTATCATGACAGGCATATTTTGCACCACATATTAGCAGTGTTTATTTAAAAACACAGAGTGATTTTTACCCACTGGTCAACACAAATCATCCTGCCCTGACAGTGAATTCATACCTGGAAGAACTTTCAGTTCAGCTTCATCACTGTACTTCGGTGGCCCTCCACTTTCAACTATGCATCGATAGAGTCCCCCGTCTCCTTCAGTCACATTGCTGATAACCAGTGTGCCACTTGGAAGCTTGACAACTCTGTCATCCAGAAGAAGGGGCTGCTTGTTCAGTTCCCACCTCACAAACGGGACCAAATCTGCATTAACATCACAATTCAGAATGGCACTGCCTCCAGCATAAACTGAGGAAGGTTCTGGTTGGCTGATAAATCTCGGAAGACCTAGACAAGAAAAAAAATAATAATAAAAGGCTGCTGTCTCAGTTTTCTCACCAAGGTGAATGTAAACATGAAAAGAAATTATCATGGCCCTTTGCAAAAATGACTTCATCCAGTACCCAAATGAAGATGCACTATCTGAAGAATGCTGTTGTCTACCTAAAAAGAGCATGGTTTATTTAGGAACCACATCTAATTCCTCTTTGCCTTACAGGTAAGTATCATTATTGGAACAAAGATGCTCTGAAATGATGTGAATAATCTTTTTGCAACTTTCTAGTACTCACATTTCTGTGTTTGTGTGTAAATGTATATTCTACAAAAATTTTAGAACAATCTCTCTAATTAAATATCCATTCCTTGGGGCTGGGAAGGTGGCTCAGTGGTAGAGCGCTTGCCTTGCATGCCTGAGGCCCTGGGTTCGATTCCTCAGCACCACATAAGCAAAAAAAGCCGGAAGTGGAGCTGTGGCTCAAGTGATAGAGGCTAGCCTTGAGCTGAAGAGCTGAAGGACAGCACCCAGGCCCAGAGTTCAGGCCCCACGACTGGACCCCCCCCAAAAAAAAATATCCATTCCTTGGTTAGGACATAAAAGAAACAAGATTCAGCCGGGCACCGGTGGCTCACAGCTGTAATCCTAGCTACTCAGGAGGCTGAGATCTGAGGATTGAAGTTCAAAGCCAGACAGGACAGGAAAGTCTGTGAAACTCTTATGTCCAATAAACCACCAGAAAACCAGAAGTGGGGCTGTAGCTCAAGTGGTAGAGTGCTAGCCTTGAGCTGAGGGGCAGCGCTCAGGCCCAGAGTTCAAGCCCCACGACCAACCAAAAAAAAAAAAAAAACAAGATTCAGGCTTTATTGAAAACCTTTACAAAACTGTATTAAGTAGAACAAAAGCAGCCCCAAATGATCCATTTCCTGTGTCATTTCCTAGTATAAAAGAACTGCTCAGTAACTGATTGCAACTTTAAACCCTCAGACAAATAGAAAAGTGCTAGTTTATCCATACAGCACTGAGTCCACACACAAAGTATAGGCACAATTAATGCTAAATGAAAACCAATCCAGGACATACTAATTTTATTTAGATTTTCTTTTCATTGTGGAGTTATTGGAATTTGAGATCAATGCCTCACCTTGCTGAGCAGGTGGTGTTCTACCACTTGAGTCATGCCCAAGTCCTTTTCAGTTTACTTTTTGGACAGGAACTTGTCCTGATTGGGTCAGACTTGGACTGAGATCACTCTTCCTGGGTCTAATATGTGGCTGTGAAAACAGGCACTTGAATGCCTGGTTAACACTGGTTGAGAAGGACCTCGTGAGTAGCTGGGATCACAGGGACGTGCATCCATATCCAGTCTAGATTTACGTTCTATAAAAATTTGGAAATACAAGTAAATCACTTCATGAGTCTTACCTGCTACTATGAGCTTGGCCGTTCTGCTGACAATAGTTCCAAGACTATCAACAGTGGCTACACACTGATAGTAACCTTCATCGGGTTTATTGTGTTTGGAATGCACCACATTGCTGATAAACAAAGATCCATCCGGAAGTAGCTGGCGTCGATCATCTGATACTAAGTTTAAAAAAGTCCCATCTTTTTTCCATTCAATTTTTGGCGAAGGCTCAGAATATGCTGAGCAATTTAATATAACAGAAGAGCCTCGAACTGAGAGTGTGTCCACTGGCTCCACCAGAAAATAAAATGGAGTGAATGTTCGGACACTGGCTCCTAGAAAAAGAACAAAAGTAAGCAAACATGTCCAAGTACTGGTTCTTTAATGGTTATTCTCTGAGTATTGTCCACATGTGTAACCATTATATCATGATTTACTTCTTACTAGGAAACCAAAAACTGACTCAGTTAGAAATTCAAAAAACAAAACAAAATAAACATCCAAAGATAAGCCTTATTAGATAATATGGATATCCGAGAGGTTTTATTTTAGTGTACAGAATTACATGAGCTTTAAGTTAGGGTAGAGGTGGGTGCCTACCAATTTTAACCCCTGCTTACTGGGAGGAGAAAGAAGGTATATGTTTCATGGTTAAAAAAAAAAAATTGCTGTAATTGTAACGCCTCTGTACAGTATTTTCACAATAAAAACATATATATATATATATATATATATATAAATTGCTTGTTAAGTATCATTTGGTGAGAATAGGATTCTGTTTTTTTTAAGACCTATTATCATTTTCTTTAAACACTTTCTGTCAGAATGGAAGGGCTATCAGACACTTAACTCCCTAGCTGATGTTATATAAAAACTGTCCTGTATTTCTCACCAGGACCCTGAGTCTCTATCCACTTAAGTTTGTTTAATAGTAATTTACTAAGACCAAAGTCACTGGACCAATTATTTTTAAATAAGCTTAATGACCATGTTTGATATCTTGTACATTGCCAAGTCTCTGCAAATTTCTCACTTCTTAATGGAATAGATCTCACTTCTTGATAGACTATTCCTCACTTTTTGATAGACTATTTCACACCTCTTGATAGAATTCCATCTTAGGAAAGGAAAAATATCCACAGGGAACTTCTTTCGGTTGTAAATTCCATCTCCCAAATTCCAACAAATTATATCATCACTTGACAACCTTAATTGCATGACCAATAATAATTCTCATTTTTATTGTACACAGAGTAAAACATTAACATATGGCATTTGAACACCAGCAAAAATAAAATACTCCACTGCCTGAAGAGGTTCAAAGTTTAACAACAGCAGAAATGCAGACAAGCATTTTTATACACCTACAAATGTGGGCATTATGAATATCACTTCATTATAAACTAAGAGACTATTCTCAAAGGACTTCATATTGTGGTTGTGGGTGTTGCTGGGATTTAATGCAGAGTCTCCTACAGACTAGGCAAGCTCTCTACCACCTAACTATGCCCCAAAGCCCAAGACTTCCTGCTTCTTTTACTCCTTGGTGTTACTTCCAACCATCCCACCGAACTCAACCACCAGATCCCACATTTCATCTGCTCTGAAATGTTGGTGCCCATTTTCATCTTGTAGCTCAGACTCTTGCTTCAAGCTCCCATGGAAGAGAGCTTTCTTCTCACAACTAAAAAGAAAAATTTTTAATGAATGATAAAATAATTGAAAATTCAAGAGCTCAGCGAAATACATTCTTCTCATCAACTTTTACAAATTGACAAATTCTCTCTACATTTTACAATGTAACTGTTTATGCTCCTGGCTCTCTAGAGCTCCACCTCCAAGGGTAGAATCTACCTCAAACACATCACCTTTCCTATGTACTGACCTTATAGAGCCTTCCTGGGGGAAAATACCTAATAAACCACTAACACTATTTAAGTCATTTTGTATGATAAGCATACAGCTCTAAAAGAATACCGTAAATACATGGTGACTGTTAGTTGAATCTGACATTCTGGTTCAGGGTCAGTATCCTACAGGGAAACTCTAGAGAAATTTTGTATCCATCAGAAAATGCACTTTTGATACAATCTTCTAATTTATAAAACCAGTTTCTCAATATATCCCCAAATAACACACCAGGATTCCTATTCCACAAGCCATTTATGATAATATGGGTGATTTCCTTTTCTTCAATCTTCAGTGTTTCGCCTCTCTTCCCTTGCTCCACCCTATCCCAAAAAAAGACAGTGGCAAAGCCACAGGCAAGGAAAGCCAGCCTGCCCCAGTTCTGAAATAACTGCTCCATCAGTGATTGCATTTGTTTGTGTCTGAAACTTCTGTCCACTCACACAGAGTAACTGCCTTCTTTCAAGGAGACTTCTCAGCAGAGAAAGGGGATGTGTACAAACCCTACTATTTGGAAAGGTCCTTAACAAAGAGAAACAATTCACAGTAACAAGTCTACCATATCTCCACCCAAACTGCTGAAAACATCTAGGACTATAGTTTTTGTCCATCACACTTAAAAACTTCCATAGAGTAATAAATTTTCACAACTGTTATACATAAAACTTTAGTCATTAAAAAAATTATGTATGGGGCTGGGAATGTGGCTTAGTGGTAGAGTGCTTGCCTAGCATACATGAAGCCCTGGGTTCGGTTCCTCAGTATCACATACACAGAAAAAGCTGGAAGTGCCACTATGTGGCTCAAGTGGTAGCGTGCTAGCCTTCAACAACAGAAGCTCAGGGACCATGCCCAAGCCCTGAGGTCAAGCCCCAGGACTAGCAAAAAATAAAATATGTAAACTAAGGCATTAAAAATAAAAACTGTACACGTTTATAGGGTGCAATGTTATACTTTGATACATGTATACATTGCCTGATATATCCAGTTAAACACATTTATCTCCTCAAATATGTTTTTCTTTATGGTAAAAATTTACAAAATCCTTTCTTCTACTTTGTGAAGTATACACTATAGTACCTTACCACGCAATGGCACACCAGAACCTCTTGGTCTAATTAACCATAACTACTGTTCAACATTTCACCATCCCTCTGTCCCACGCCATCAACTCTGACAATCACTATTTCACTCTCGATTTCTCTCATTTACATAGGTTCTATCTATATAAATGGTATCATGCTATACTTGTTTTTCTATACCTTGGTTACTTCACTTAACAGTTACCTCCAATTCCATCCACGTAGCTATAAATGACAGCCAAGGGGTCCATCAGTTGATAGATAAGAAAATGCAGTGAATACACACAATAGTATTCAGCCAAGTTGAATCATCTATTCTCAGTCTAATTAATTTTTTGTTGTTGTTGAGTGTGGCACTTGAAGTCAGGACGAGAGCACTGACTCTAAGCTCTTTTGCTCAAGGCTAGCACTCTAGCACTCTAGCACAGTGCCACTTCCAGTTTTCTAGTGATTAATTAGAGATAAGGTTTCATTGACTTTCTTGCTTGGGCTGGCTCTGAACTGTGACCTCAGATCTCAGCCTCCTGAGTAGCTAGGAGATCATAGGCTTGAGCCACCAGCGCCCAGCTCTTCGTCTAATCTTTGAATAGAGCCACAAATACCCAGTTCTCAGTCTAATCTTTGAATATTTATCTTGAGATAGTATAAAAATGGACAGACAACTAATCTGGTACTCTATTTCACTAATACTAAACTAGACACAATTACCCTTAGGAATATTCAATCCTATTTTGTGTGCTAATTTGCTTTTCCTTAGTACTGAAATTATGCAATGTTTCATGAGAAAGATACTTATTTTCAGACAGAAGAAGAGTAACAGTCAAGAATACTGTAACTCTCGGGGCTGGGAAGGTGGCTCAGTGGTAGAGCGCTTGCCTTGCATGCCTAAGGCCCTGGGTTCAATTCCTCAGCACCACATAAGCAAAAGGAAAAAGCCGGACGTGGCACTGTGGCCCAAGTGGTAGAGCGCTAGCCTTGAGCTGAAGAGCTGAGGGACAGTGCCCAGGCCCAGAGTTCAGGCCCCACGACCGGACCAAAAAAAAAAAAGAATACTGTAACTCTGCATCTTTAAGTGATTTGCCAAAGACTTCATTTTCTTCCGATTTTGGAATAAAGACTCTATTTTTTTTATTGGCATATATTAATAGTATAAAGAGATTTCACTGAGCTATATCCATACATGTACGTTACTTTAATCAAATTCACACCCTCTATTCTTTCTTAACCTTTCCTCTTCCTTTTGCACAATCTTAATGAGTTTCATTATTCTACTTTCATACATGCATAGGAAGTACTTTAATCATATCGACCACCCCATTCACCCTCACCTTTTGCCCTCACCCTTCCTGTGAGTTCCCTGAACACTCCCTCTTTTACATTCATGTCCTGTTTCTTTTAGGTAAGACATGATACTTATCTTTGAGTCCTGCTTATATCACTGAACATGATCTCCAATTCTAATCGTTTCCCAGCAATGACATAATCTGGTGTTCTTCAGAGTATTGTGTATACATACCATGTTGTTTTTATCCAGTTATTGGTTAATAAGCATCTAGACTGATTCCACTGTTAACAGTGATGCAAAGAACTTGGATATGAAAGGTATCTGTGTTGTATGCTGACAACATTCCTTTAGATATATTCCCAGGACCACTGCAGGACTACTGAGAACTCTATTTTTAGATTTTTTTTTTTTAAGGAACTTCTGTGCCATAGTGGCCATGCTAATTTACATAAGGGTTTATATTCTCATTCTCTTCCATTTATTATTAAGTGTAAGTGTTCCTGCTCCCCACATCCTCACCAGCATTTGTTATTTGTCTTGATACACATTTTGACTGGGGTGATAAAAATTTCAGTATCATTTTGTTTTGCATTTCCTTTATTGCTAGGATGCTGAACATTTCTTTATACATTTGTTGGCCATTCATACTTCTTTTGAGAACTGCCAGTTCAACTCACTTACTTATTTATTAACTGGATCATTTGTTCTTTTGGTGTTTGATATACAAGTTCTTTACATATAATGAATAATGACCCTTTGCTAAATAGGTGGCAAAGGTTTTTCTCTCATTCTACAGAACTCTCTTAATTCTGTAATTGTTCCTTTGATGTGCAGAAACTTTTTAATTTGATGCAATCCATTTGTCAATTCTTGCTCACACCTCCTAAGCAATTAGGAGTCCTAGTCAGAAATGTGTAACCTATACCTATAGTATTATGGTGGTTTAGCTTCCTCCTCAGTGTATAGTTAACTCCTTTAAGTATCTTTTGCCTTACAAGGGCTTGCTGGTCATGAAACTTTTTGAGTTTTATCATGTAGGTTTTTATTTCTCCCTCAATCTTGAAGGACAGCTTTCCAGGGTACAATAATCTAGACTGGCAATAATTTCCTTTCAGGGCTTAAAAATACATCCCCCCATGACCTCTTTCCTTTTAGAGTTTTTTGTTGTTGTTGTTGAGGAGTTGCTGTTATTCTAATGACTTGGCACTTCTGCAGCTTTCAGTATTTTATTTGGTATCTTAAAGCACATTTACATGCCAACTGCTAGTGACTTATGCCTATAGTCTAGCTACTCAGGAGTCTGAGATCTGAAGATCATGGTTCAAAGTCATTCCAGGCAGGAAAGTCCCTGTAAAACTCTGTTTTTTTTTTTTTGGGGGGGGGGTCCGGTCGTGGGGCCTGAACTCTGGGCCTGGGTGCTGTCCCTCAGCTCTTCAGCTCAAGGCTAGCACTCTACCATTTGAGCCACAGCACCACTTCCGGCTTTTTTCTTTTTTGCTTATGTGGTGCTGAGGAATTGAACCCAGGACCTCATGCATGCAAGTCAAGCACTCTACCACTGAGCCACCTTCCCAGCCCAGTCCCTGTAAAACTCTTATTTCCAATTATCCACTCAAAAGTTGGAAGTGGAGTTCAAGCCCCATGACCAACAACCATAAAAAGACTCATATGTGGCTAACCATCGTCTCAGAATTTGGAAATATTTCTTTTATTTTAGTGAATATGTTTTGTATGCCTCTTTCCTCTTCTATGCCCAAGATTTTTAAGTTTGGTCTTTTAATTGTGTACCAGAGAACTTGGCATGCTCTATGCATATTTCCTTTCTCTTTTCTTCTTGTGCTCTTGTTCTAATCTAATCTAATCTAATCTTGTTCTAATCTATCAGTCTTCAAGCCCTGATATTCTGTTTTCAACTTGCTCCAGTCTATTGGCAAGGCTTTCAACTTAGTTTTATTATCTGACTAAGTGAGCATACCATTTCCAGAATTACAATTTGGTTTTTGGAGGAAAGAGGGAAGCAGTACTGGAGTCTCAGGACTTCTGCCTCTTAAGCTACCACCTGTAGTCTTCCAGAGGCTTGTTCTTAAGAGTTAAGGCAGGCCAGTGGCTCACACCTGTAATCCTAGCTACTGAGGAGGCTGAGATCTGAGGATCACAGTTCAAAGCCAACCCCAGGCAGAAAAGTCCATGAGACTCTTATCTCCAATTAACCACCAGAAAATCAGAAGTGGTGCTGTGTCTCAAGTGGTAGAGCGCTTGCCTTGAGCTGAAGAGTGCAAGGATAGCACCCAGGTCCAGAGTTCAAGCCCCATGAATGACCAAAAAAAAAAAGTTAAGGTAGGACTATGTAGTGGCTATGTTGAGTTGCAGTTTTTCATCACTGGAATGAGAACATGGCTCAGCAGGTGAACTTATGGGAACTGGACCTTCATCTGAGTATTTCTAAGACAGAGGAGAACTAGCTGGAGTCTCTTCAAGTTCTTAGTGTACACATGGTTGCAATATGTACAATAAGGATGGACCAGTCATGGTCTGTTGTCTGCAGGGAGGTCAGGCAGGTTCCTACCTTGGAGGCAAGTCTTCCAGTTTGTGCCCTCAGGAGTAGCAGGTATTCAAGCCTATGGAATGTCCCTAAATTCATCATCATGGGAGAAGTAAATAGCGAACTGAGGAAAACTGAGGGACTCGAGCACCACCAAAGTGCTGAAATGGACACACCACTGCGCTGCCCCAAGTCCTGGTGAGGCAGATGCCATCGAACTATGAATATGACAATGAGATTTTTAGAGCAGAAACAAGAAGCAAAGTAGACACTTTAAACTGATTTTTTTCTAGTTGAAGCTGAAGTTAACAATGAAGTGAGAAGGCTGAAGTAGGATAGATGGCTGTTTATGGAACTGAAGATAGATAAGGATGGAGATAAACAGGAGTAAACAGAAATGAGTAAAAATGGCACAAGTGGAATGACTAGAGATAGAGACGATGGTGAGATGAGTATTATTTTAATATTATGGCATCACTGAATGATGAAAAACGCAGGATACAGTGACCAAAGCTGGTATCTAAGTGCCAGGAAAAAGTAGTCACTGGAGATAAGAAGGATAGAGAACTAAAATGTGATTAGAAATATAAGCCAAGTAGATACAATTTTAGAGTTGACAGAAAGGAAGACTGAAAATCAAGGTCCAAAGTGCTGAACAAATAAAAATGAACTGTAAGTATAGGCAGTGGTAAGAGGTAAGTGGTAAGAACGATAAACTCAGTAGCACATATTTTGAAAAGAGTAGTATTTTAAAGAAAGCAATTACTTCGCATTTTTCAACTAACTTTCCACTTATTCTTCAGTAATCATCTATCTTCCAGGAAGCTGAAATTGCTCAAAATACCACAAGGTACTTTTCCTCATGGAAAAAAAAGCATTATAGATTTGACTGAAGTATACGACCGTATGTCTACAAATGATTCCCAAATTCAGCTAGAAAAATTTCTGAATAAAGATGCATTAATTCTTGTACAAAGAAAATAAACATGAAGCACATGAATAATTTAATAAAAGCTTTTGCTGTCAGCAGCTTTACTAACAGAAGTAGTATTAATGAAATCCCATAGGATAATCCAACAACTTAACAATATGCAACAAAGAACATAAAACTGAGAATCCTTAATAATCAATCTTATCAAGGCTATTTTTGGCCAAGAACGGTGTGCATGCATCAATTCCCAATCCAAATTAAATCCAGCTACAGGTTCAGAGACCTTGTTCACTGGATTCTGGAATTCTTCAACTCAACCATAGATAATTACTGGTGGAAATAAACTGAGTTTAAAAATTTGTTAATACAATCCTACATTAGTAAACTGTTGATTAAATAACAAAATTTCACTCATCACTGAGCTCTTTAATCTCTTAGCAACATACATCCAATGTATGTTCTTGGGAAAAAGAAAGGAGGGACCTCTAAAATTCAAGGAAGATGTTAACAGTACTCTAAGAAGGATACCAATCCTAGAAAGCCCACAATGAATTTATATACGTAAAACCAATGATATATAAAACATATCTCTGCAAGTGAAAGAAGCCTTTCTACACCTGCTGCATACTATTCTCAGATAGATGCAGACTTAGTTACTACAATAAAATCCAAATGGTCCCTAATCACTTTAAAAGAGACTTAATCTTAAGAATGCAAATAAAACTACATTGAGATACAATTTCTCACCTGTTGTACTGGCAAAATTCCAACTTCTTAACAGCATATTCTTCAGGCAAAGTGTAGAGAAACAGGTTGATGGAAATGCAAAATGTTACATTTACCATAAAGGGAAATTTGCAACATCTAGAAAATTATATATGCATTTACTCACTGGCCTAGCAATCACATAACCTATAAATTTATCCTAAAAGTACACTGACCAAAATATGAAAATAGTACAAGCAACACTATTCACTGTAGAATTACTTGTACCCCAGAAACAACTCTGACATCCATCAATAAGGGACATACTGAGTATGGTATACTGACAAACTGAGATACTGTGCATTCATAAGTAAGATGTATGTTTTACCATAGAAAGACCTCTAGAATTAAAAAAAAAAAGTTGGATAAGTGTACATTTACCTGGAAAAGGCAGAATATCAATACATATACATATGAGATGTGACTTCAACACCTCAAATTTGATAGTCAAGGTGCTCTACCACTTGAGCCATGCCTCCACTCCTTTTTGCCCTAGTTATTTCTCAGTTAAAAGTATTATATTTTTTGTCTTTGGCCAAACTTGGATCACAATTCTACCACGGCCTCCCATATATCTGAGATTATAGGCATGAGCTGCCATGTCTGACTAACAGGTTCAGATGGGGGTCTTGCGAACTTTTTTGCCTGGACTGTCTTCAAACTGCAATCTTCCCAGTCTCTGTCTTCTAAGTAGTTGGAATTACAATGGAATACTGTAAAAACTGATATTCACAAGTCTCCATACTATTATGCTTAAAGAAGCTAGTTTCCCAAGATTACATACTGTATGGTTCCACTTACAGGACATCCTGGAAATGAAAAACTATCGGGATGGAATATAGATAGGTGTTTGCTAGGGTTAGAGGTGGAAAAAGGGTTTGACTATAGAGATTTGGAGTAATGAAACTATTATGTATTCTGTTCACAGTGATGGTTAAAGGTAGCTACCACATACAAGATAAAACAGAGGACTGTAGTACACAGTTGAGTTTATAATATACTAACTTAATTTTTTTTTAACTAAACTAGTGATCTTTACTCCACCCAACACCCACGCCTGCCTCACACTTCCTCATGACTATGTATTTCCTCACTTAGCACTATCAATTCAGGTATTCTGTTGCTCCATGAACTAGACTCTGTATGTCTAGTTCACAGCTACATCTCTGGAGCATGCCTAGAATACAGCAGAGCCTCAATAATACTTATTATTTTATGTGAAATCCTTTAACAATTATGAAAGAAGAAAAGTAGAAGACCTAGGGCCACTTAACAAGATCTCGCTTCTTTGTGGCATCTACAAAGATAAACTCATTGAAGAAAGTGTAAGAAGGAAAGTTGCTGATAGTTGGGTGCTATTAGTCAACAGCGATTTCAGTTAAGTAGAAAGAATATGTTCAAGAGATCTACTACATAACATGGTGACTATAGTTATAACAATGTATTATATTTTTTTTTTAATTGGTGCAGTACCAGTTCACTCAGGGACACACATTCTCACCTTTCTTCCTACAGCTGGCATTACCACTGGAGCCCTAACTCCAGTTCTGTCTTAAACCCTGATAATCTCTGAGAGTAGTGCCCTCACTACAAAGAGTAAGTATGTGAAATAATGCATATATTAATTGGTTTAATTAACCCAGACCTTAGTCAGGTACCAGTGGCTCATGCCTGTAATCTTAGCTACTCAGGAATCTGAGACCTGAAAGCCTGCCGTTCAAAACGTCAGCCTCTAAAATTCCATCTCCAATTAACCAAGAAAATGCAGTGGCTCAAGTGGTAGAACATACATATTTCAAAACATCATGTTGTTAACAAGACAAATTCATATGACTTGTATCAATTAAAATTAAAAATGAGAAAAGAACAATGGGTCTAAACACAAGAAAATTAAGTCTTCTGTTCAATGAAAACCAGAAGCAAAATAAAGAAACATGACAAGGAAAAATGATTTGCCATGTCTAAAAGCAACAAGAACAGTACCAGGAACAAAAAGCTGCTGCAAATCAACAAGAGAGACACAAAAGTAAGGCTGAGCTGTTAGTGGGAGAAGTTACACAAACAGACAGTTAATGGCTGAAATCCCAGCAAGACTTGTCAGCAATGAGAAATGCACTTTACACAGTGTCAAATGGCAGATTCAGGAAGGTAAGTCTTGTCAACTACTGGCAAGAACATGAGCGGATGCTAACCCACACATACCTTTGATAGAGGTATGAGTAAGAACATCCTAGAAAATAACTGAGCTACTATTGGTGAAATTTTATTATATATTTGCCCTATGATCTGACAATCGTACTCCTGGCTTTGTACTGAAGAGAAATTTATACAAAGGTTAGTAAGGATCGGGGCAAAGAACTCGCAATTGCAGATGTATCTGTGGTAGCAGAACTGGAAGAAAACTAAGGATTCACCACTTGGGAAATGGTAGTGTAGGAAATACAGACTATAAAGGCACCGAACTAAATGTTCATGGACCAATATTAAAGCATCATGTTGGACAGAAGGAGAAAAGCCACAAGCACAGAACACATTACACAAATCAACTCTTTTAATTCTCACAACTCTACAGTCTACGTATTATAAATCTTCCTTTTACAGATGAGGATACAAAAGTTATTAATCTGCCTATGGTCATATGGCTAGTAATTTATGAAATAAGAAACAAAATAAACTGTAAAGCTAAGTATGACAAGTCAAAACAAAATATTTTGTATTTTGTGTACGTTGATGCATACTCAAGAAAAAAATTATACTCTCTCTTTCTCTCTCTCTCTCTATATATATATATTAGAGCTGGGCTTAGGTAGCTCATACCTATAATCCTAGCTATTTGGGAGGCTGAGATCTGAGGATTGCAGTTCAAAGCTAGCCCAGGCAGGAAAATCCATGAGACTCTTATATCCAATTAACCACCAGAAAAAAACAAAAGTGGTGCTGTGGTTCAGAGTGCTAGCCTTGAGCGCCCAGGCCCAGAGCTCAAGCCCTACAACTGAAAAAAAAATTTTTTAATATATGTATATATAAAAGCAGGAGACAAGGGAAATAGGGTGTAGAAGGCAGAAAAGGGAAATCGCAAAATAAAGACAGCTTACAACATCCATGTACTATGTATTATGTACTATGTACATGAATTGAACTATGAATTGAACATTGTTCAATGTGCTATGTATGTACTATGAATTGAACATTGTTATTCAGCTTTTTACTCCTTAAGACCCGAAGTCTGGAGTCATCCCTGGAGTCCTCCTTTGGGTCTCCCTTCAATAGATAATCAGCCACCAAATCTTGTCTATTCTACTTCAAATACATATCAAAGATGGCCTCTTCTCACCACATCTACTCCAAGCTACAGATACCAGGAGGGCATTTAAACCAACTTACCTCTTTCCAGTCTGGTCCTCATTTATTTATCTAATGATAAATAACATTCCCTGACTACATATATACTTCAACAGCTTCCCATTAGTCTATATAGCCAAGTCCAAAGTCCTTAACACACCAACAAAGCCCTGAGTTCTGTTCCCATTCACACATGATTCCCTTCTTCCATTACAATGCTAGCTCACCCTAATCTTTCAATTCTTCATGCTTGCCAGCCTCCTTCCCACTTCAGAGCCAGGGTCAGACCACAGCTGGCTACCTGGGGGAGCTCACCCTATACCTGCTCTGTTTCTCAAGCTGGATGATAAACTCCATGAGGACAAGGAATGTTTCTGTGTTAGTCACTATTTTAATCTCTAGACTAACACATATAATATTCATTTGCATTAGTAATCTATTTGCTAAAAAGTTTTTACCTGCTTCTATTTTAATGTGAATCAACAAAATGCTTCGTCCCATCCCCCCCACCAAAAATTTATCTTGTCAAATTGATTGTTTTCTTTTCCTGAGAATCAATGACTACCCAAAAGTTATAGAGTAATCAACAAAATTCCACACTATTCAAATTTAAGAGAAGTATCTTTTCAAAGTAATTAGTTTATTTCAACTCATTAATTTCATAATTCAAGGAGACCTATTTAATGAAGTAGATAGGACTCTATTAGTCAAAATCTATCATATTAAAGGTAATATTTTCTCAAAATAAAATGCTACATAGTGAAAGAGCTTAAGTAGAGTCTAAATCTAAATATGATCCCTACCAAGGCAAGAATCCATTATTAAATCCTTAATATTTAACATGTGCTTCAACATTTAACCACCAGATGGCAGATCTTACACAGCTTCCTGTTAAATGCTCTTATCAGCCCTGAAAAGGCAGTTCAATTAGAAGAAATTTTAGAAAAAATTAAATAAATGTAAGCATTTTTGAACCTAAGCCAGTTAACCACAGGCTAGATACAGTTGGCTCACAGAATGTTACACTTTTATTTAACTGTAAATTTGTCTCCAGGCACATGCAGAACACCCAATTATCTTTAAAGAGAACAGAACACTAAAATACAATTTTAAAATGTGGTTATCCATATTCCAGTTATTCAAAAATCCTCAAAGCACATGAGAGCTTTGGATCCAAAAGCAAAGAGAACAAGAGATAAAAATGAAAAGATGGACAAAGACAGACGCCAGAGGATAATTAGAAAAGGAAGGATGGAGAGAAGAGCCACTAACCAAACCAAGAAGCTGTCGAGACCTCAAGTCACAGTCATTGGAAGACTGCCGTGTCTACTGTATCCTGTGTTCAGCAAACTATTCCCATCAGGAAGACTTTATTCTCAGTTAATCTGTTCATACTAACTTTTCAAATTTTTCTGCAAAATGATTCTTCTAAGTTTTTAAAGGGAGTCTATGACTCAATTTCTACATAAAATATATTACCTTTAGGATAATTTTTGAGTTACTTCAACTTGCTACTGGAAACACTATTTGCAAACGCAGTCTTTAAATCTAAGGATGGCTACCGCACTCTAAGGTTCCACCACGTTGGGTGTGACAAACCATCTCCTGTTACCAGGCTTGTGGCATAGCCCTTGCCACTCAGTAGACACGGGCATGTCCTCTGAACACGTTCTGAAGTCAGAACAGATCCCCAGGCCAGCACACACACACTGGCTTGGCTTCCTCACATCACTTCCTC